CCGAGCTTTCAATAAGCCAATAACACGTGGTTAGACATCAATTAATCTGAAACATAAAAATGTCAGAGGAAATTGTTGTCATAAAAAGCTTCCGAAAAAAGCAACATTTTTTTTTGAAATACAAAAAATCAATCTCAGAGCAAAACAGACGAGAAACACAACCACTAGCATTGAGAAAACTTTTTCAATTCCCAAGCGTTCAGTAAGCCAACAAAACTTGATTGGACATCAACTGACCCGAAAACAAAGAAAGACACAGAAAATTGTTGTCAGAAAAAAATCACATTTTTTGGAAATACGAATCATTCAACCTCAGCAAAACAGAGGATTAATACAACCACTAGCATTAAACAAGTTTTTAGTATTTTCCGAGCGTTCACTAAGCCAACAACACGTGGTTAGACATCAATTAATCTGAAACATAAAAATGTCAGAGGAAATTGTTGTCATAAAAAGCTTCCGAAAAATTCAACATTATTTTTGAAATACAAAAAATCAATCTCAGAGCAAAACAGACGAGAAACACAACCACTAGCATTGAGAAAATTTTTTAAATTCCCAAGCGTTCAGTAAGCCAACAAAACTTGATTGGACATCAACTGACCCGAAAACAAAGAAAGACACAGAAAATTGTTGTCAGAAAAAAATCACATTTTTTGGAAATACGAATCATTCAGCCTCAGCAAAACAGAGGATTAATACAACCACTAGCATTAAACAAGTTTTTAGTATTTTCCGAGCGTTCACTAAGCCAACAACAGGAGGTTAGACGCCAATTGCCCAAAAACCAAAAAAACTGAGGAAACTGTTCTCATGTTAAAATCAACAGTTTTTGAGAAATACAAAAGAAAACAGAAATTATACCACTGTGGTGTGGCAACTAATTGTGATGTGGCTAATAATCCGACAAAATATAAGCCCACAAACTATAGTCTGATTAATCAATTCCACTCGGAAAAAATTCAATTTCAGCTACTGAAAAAAAAATAAGGTCCGGCAGGGACGCGAACCCCAGACCATAGGTTGCAAAAGCTGCTAAGATTCGATAATGAAGCAACACCAATTTCAATTACAAACTAGCCAGCCTTTCTCCAGTAATCAATCAGCTCGCAAAAAATAGTTGCTGTTCTGATAAAGCTATGAAATTTCGAAATCTCTAGCTGAGCCAGATCGTAAATCGGTTTGTTCCATAGAACGAATCAGTTCTGGGAAAAATCAAACTTACTCTGAGCAAGCTATTCAAGCTACGAAACGATAAATGACTCAAGTTAATTTCGTGAAGCGAATCGGAGTGCGAAAAGTTTTCTAAGCAAGTTGCTCAAGCTATTATACTTCGATATTTCAAGTAATTCCATGGAGCAAAGTGGTTGGCAAAAACACTCACGTTTTACTGAAGCAAGTTATTGAAGCTACAATCAATTGAAATATTTCGAGTTGCTTAGATCAAAGCATTTTGCGAACCTTCAGTTTTTTTAACCGAGCTAGTGAAGCGAATCAGTTCAAAAAAAATTCAAAATTGACTTAATCAAGCTATTGTAGCTATACAAAAATGAAATATTTACAAGTTATTGATAAGGAAACGTTTTGCAAAAAAAATTTTCTGCGCGAGCCATGAAGCCATGAACTTCGAAAAAAATCCAAGCGCTTCGTAGACCGAATCGTTTTACCAAAAGTTAAATTTTTCTAAGCAAGCTATTCAAGCTATGAAGCTTCGAACTTTTTCAAGTTTTTGTGTAGACTGAATTGGTTCGCGAAAAATTTAAAGTTTTTCTAAGCAAGCTTTTAAAACTGCAAAACTTTGAAATATTTCAATTTAGTTCAAAGACTGAATCAAATCGTGAAATAATTAAGTTCTTTAAAGCAAGTTTTTCTCAGCTAGAAATTTTGAAATAATTCAAGTTATCTATAAACTGAATCAGTTTGCGAAAAGCTTGAAGTTTTCTAAGCAAGCTATTCAAGCTATGAAACTTTGAAATATTTATTTCATGGATCGAATCGGTTTTCGAAAAAAAAATTCTCAGCATGAAGGCTGCTGTTTTAAGTTTTTCGTTTCAGACTGAAATGAATCTGTAAACGCAAAATTTTGGACAAAAATAGGCATGTACTGTCTAGCCTTGAAGTTTGGTCGAGTTCATTTTTCTCTGATGGTTGCTTTGAACGATTCTTAAACGTTGTGCTCAATAGAAAAATTAAAACGTTGCGTCCATGTCGCATTAAGACTTTCAACTAATATATAAGATCTAAGAAGATACAAGATGTGTAAGAAAAGCTGTTTATGTTTCAACAAAACAGACAACAGACAGTTGAATAAATATCAATGAACGCAAGGAAACAAAAAACAATCAAATACTTTCATGTCTTAATTATTTCTTCGTTTGTCCGAAATAAGATTCAGTTTTAAATGTCAAAACATGTTTATGAAGTCGAGGTAATCGCAAAAATTGACTGATATCGTTTCAAAATCAATTACGGACTTTCAAACGAAGTTGCATTTTTCTGAAGCTATTAGACTACAGTTTTTCAGTTATTCTAAATGCCAGGATCTTTTATGGCTGACACCACTTTTGGATGAAATTAACCAAATTTCCAAAAAAAAAACGGAATCACTTGTTTGACTGCGCTGGGAAATCTTAAAATCTTATTTTGAAACTAAGCGATTCTACCTACTGCAAAAAACTTCGTGATCTAACCTACATTCATGTAACAGTTCTAAAACATTAAGTTTCTACAGAGAAAAAACAGCACATTCTACAAGAAGCAAATAGCTGTGGACCGAATCTCAAAATTACCATCATATCAAGTCTTGTTATTGAAGGGCGTACTTGGCTTGAAAAACGTTTGGTAAAAACCGATCTCCAACATAATTCCCAGCTAAATAACCTCAAAATAGGCCCAAATAGCCTCAAAATTTACCATCATATCAAAATTTACCATATCTAATCTACTTGGTTTTTGAGAGACACCAAGTGACACCTTGGAGACACTTTAAAAAGAAGGATTATCTGTTGCTGTGCAGATAGCACAGAACGTTCCGAACATATTCTTTAAAAACTAGAAAAAAGTGTTACTATTGCCCATGGTGTCATGAGATTATCTGAAAGAAAGCCAAGACTTTAGGCATATTCGATAGTAACA